TTTCATAATGGCTAATGTAGAATAAGTGAGATGCAAATTTATGGGTTATTTTAAATTATTTTTTTATAACGACAGATGTGAATAGTTCCAATATGAATTTAGGAATGCTTCATAATGGCAAAAGTGAATACTTATTTATAAAAAAGAATAGTTCACATTGCTCTTTTTATAATTGATGATGATTAGAGTTTATCAAATTAAGTTAGATGTCTCGGTGAGAACAACGCCTCAATTAGTAATATTAGTAACATCCAAACGTGAAAAAAAGTTCGATGCTAGAGGTGAATACGGTAATGCTTAGACGCGGTGTACGTCCGCACGGACGGCTCGCCCTGCCCGCTCGCTCCTGCCCATGCAGATTCAACTTGCCCATCGCGCGCCCAAACCCGCTTCGCACGGCCTCTGCTCTCACGATTCTCACCCTCCCCATCTCTCAGTCTCTCTCGTGTGTCTACTGGCAGCAGAGCTCCTCCCGGTTCTCTTCCCCAACACCAGCGCCACCGGGATGCCTCGCTGCCGCTGCCCCAGCCGACGGCCGCTGTGCGTACATGCCGGGGCGCCTCAGGTCATCCCCGGCCGAGCCAAGGGCACCCACGAGCGCGACCGGTGTTGGTGGTGCTCGCGCGCCGCCGCTAGCCATCGGCTCCCACCAAGTAGATCTGGATGTGGTATAACATGCATGTTGCAAATATATGTTTCAAGTGTTCTAGGTGTTTCAGACGTATGTTTTAAGTGTTCCATTTGGATGTTGCTAAAGTATATCTTGATGTTGCATAACATGCATGTTTCAAGTTTTTCACGTGTTTCATACGTATGTTGCAAATGTTTCAGATGTATGTTGCAAGTGGTTCAACTGTTTTGGACGTATGTTGCAAGTGGTTTATCTGGATGTTGCAAAAATAGATCTGGTGTTGTACATGTTGTAATGGGACCACGTGCCGTAGCCGCCTCCTGCAGCTGCCGGGGTGTCATGCATGCGTGTGGGAAGCGAAGGGATGGAGCGCGGCGTGTCACGGCGGCGGACGCGAGAAGCGGATCGGAGGATGGCGGAAGGGACACATGCGGTCCCCACTTGCACGCGTAGCTGGAAACTGAGCGATGCGGGTGGTTCCAGTCTGTGCGTGCAACAGGCGTGCAACAGGTGCGGATGTCCGGACGCTAATCATGCCGCTGTGAATATAATCATATGATCATGGTTTACACCACTGTAAACTACTAGTTTCCCTAGAGTTCGAATTCCTAGGAAAGGTCCCGAAACCATCAGGAACCTGAGCCCCTAGGTTATTTCGTAGGTAACCGTAGGGACCACCCACTCTCTCTTCTCCCAACGAAATCGGAAATACTAATTTCCCTATGGTTTTGAATAGGAACTCTACGAAGACCGATAATTCCATATGACTTAGAGCCTATTTGGTTCCTTCACCTCCTCCTAAAATTCATGTCACATCGAATATTTGGACACATGCATGGAGTATTAAATATAGACTAATTACGAAACTAATTGCACAACTTGCGACTAATTTACGAGACGAATCTTTTAAGCCTAATTTGTCCATGATTTGACAACGTGGTGCTACAATAAACATATGCTAATGATAGATTAATTAGGCTTAAAAAATTCATCTCGAGAATTAGCCTCCATCTATGTAATTAGTTTTGTAATTAATTTATATTTAATGCTTTTTATTAACCTCTAAACATTTGATGTGACATAAATTTTAGAAACGACTAAATAACCCAACACCCCCTTAAAAAAACCGCAGGGAACAACATAAACCGTAGTGAAACTCACAGTTTCCAGTAGTGTTTGTAGGTAGACGATGGCAAAATGTGTTTAGTCGTCGAACTGATTGCAGACGGACTTGATTTAGTTCGTTGGGAATGAACGCAGCTGCGGACGGTGTATTTCTGATGCATTGCCCTGCCAGGATTGTGCAAATTGCCAAGAACACGTACACGGGCCAATGTGATCAGTAGAATATATTGTGTCTCATCACAAATAATGTTTGAGTAGAACAAAAAATATTGGAATTAAAATGATTTTTCCTTGTCTAATGAATGCGTCTAATAACGGCCGGCCAGGATGTGAAGCAGCAGCTCGTTCCACACATCGATCGGTCCCGGCAGACACCAGTGCAGGCAGTCGACGTCGAAGCCTTCGTGCTCGCCGGGGCCGTGGCCGTACCGGTCGGGGTGCCCGTCCGGCCGGCGCAGCATCATCTCGGTCACGTCCATCATCCTCAGCCGCACGCCGTTCCTCCTCGCGTCCTCCGCCGCCGCCGCGAACTCCTCCACCTGCGCCGCGTAGAAGTCGCGCTCCGGCTCCGCCATCTCCAGCGGCGGGTCCTCGGTGTCGGCCGGCCGCGTGGCTGTGCACTCCCCGCCGTCGAACCACCCGCCGTTCTCGTAGTGCGTCGGCGCCACCGTCCGCAGGATGGCGGTCCCCTTGAACCCCTCCATCCCGGCGGCTAGCTCCCGGAGCACGGTGCGGACCGCGGCCCGCTGCGCATACTGGGGCCTGAGCGCTGTGACGTTAGCCATGTCGACGCGGCCGCCGCTGTAGTACACGGCGGGGCGTGCGAACCAGTGCGACGCGGACACGACCACGTAGTCGTGGTCCTTGGCGGCCGCCGTCCACCGCTCGTCAGGCTCGTGGAGGTGGAGGTCGCTGGGGCCCGCGAACACCTCGCCCTGCCGGTCGGGCCCGACCGCCTCCGGTGGCCCCCGCGTCAGGCGCCACCGCACCTGGAACGGCGTCCAGAAGAAGGCGACCGTGAACCTGTGCGCCGGGAACCGCCAGTAGTCGAATCCCTCCGCCGACCGCGACGACCTCGACGGGCTCTCCACCTGCGACAAGGTGCACACGAGCGACCGGACGTGGCTGCTGGCCAGCGAGTCCCCGACGAAGAGGATCGACCTGCCCCGGACTAGCCCGAAGAATCGCGCGGCGCCGAAGCGCTCCAGCTCGCCTTAGCCGCCGCCGTCTGGCTGCCACCGCCACCGCAGGAACTCCGTGCTTGGCTTGCCATGCTTCATGCAGTTCTGGTAGCCCTCGATGAACGCGCACGTCGCGTTGGTGTAGTACGGCCGCGCGGTGGGGTCGCGCACCCACCGGCCTCGCGTGAGGTCGCCGGCGCCGCCGGCGCTGGAGAACAGGGAGGAGGAGGTGGGCGTGGGCGACCACGATTGGAAGGGGCGGCCGAGAAAAAGAACCGACAACGTGGCACCGGCGAAGAAGAGGACAGCAGCGAGGGCGGCGCGGACTTGATCTTGGGAACGGCGTGGCGGCTCCGGCGATGATCTCCGGTGAGGAGGCCACGAATGGATTGGATCACCGTGAGTGTCTTCATTGGTGACCACCTTCCAGCAGATGGCGCGGTGTTGTGGAGTGGCTACGGATCTCTGCGTATCGCACGGGAGCGCGAGCGCGGTGCTGATTAGAAGTGATTATAATTTGAGACTGATGGTCAGTCAACGCAGCTCATAGAATGTTGAAATACTGCTGGTACAAGTGCTTAAGTAGTGGGAAGGCACGCTGGCATCAAAAAGTCAACTCAACCAAGTGTGCTCGACTGGCTCGTGACAATACTCGCAAATGTTATGCTCGTGGCCAGTTCAATGTACGTGACTGTGAAAATGTATATATACTTGTAGTATTTAAATTTGAGTCGCCCTGCGTCAGCCGAGACTGACATCGGCCCTCGCAGGTGCTTGTATCGTAGTGTGTTGGGCTGTACTGTTACAACCCAATTGGGCCGCGCACACGGGCTGATTACACAATTGCTGATGGGTCTTTGCACGTGTTGCCAAAATTTAGGTAAGCCAAGTCTTTGACCGCTTTTGGATTATACACACACACACACTAGCAAAACTTATCAATATTTTACGTTTGCATCGTCAAATCTGTGGCAAACTGACAAATATCTATGTTCAACTTATGACAATTTTCCTTGTTAAAGATTTTGCATGATAAATTTTAGTAGCAAACAAAACAAGCCTTTGTTTCCGTCTCTCTTGGCACAATAGTATTGTCGGACCTGAAAAGAAAATATAGTTTGTTGGGCGTTTGGCCGGAGCCGCCGCGGGGCAAGGCAGTGATGACCATTGCCGGGCGGTAGTGCTTCCGATCATTGCCGGCGCTCGATTCTGATGGATCATGTCAGGCGGGACACGGTGGTAGGACATGCTTCTCTTTAGGTGACACACTGATGCCACAAGGCGTCCCGCTGGCCGCACGCGCCACGCCACCTCACCTGTGGCTTCCATTACTTCTTTTTTTACACGGCCGTCACGGTCTTTGTGCATTCAATTCACAACGTTTGTAGTTTGGAAAAAAAAGAGAGAAATTCATAACGTTTGTGTTGTCGGCTTCTCGAAAATTCCCAGCCATCAAGCGAGACTGCCGCCGGAGCGTTTAAACAAATGGAGGTGCATCATCCACTTGATCACACGGACGGACGGCCACGTGACCGGCCGGCCCATGCCCTGAAGAGGACCAAATAGGCCCTAAAACGCTGCTGCGGTCCGAATAAAGTGTCCGAGCTGACAGGGTGCTCCACACATCACATGCGCCAAGCGGCCCGCTCATATCTGTCCTTGGATTTATTATATTATTACTGCTCCCTCCATTCATAAAAACATGCAATTCTCGCGGTCAATCAATCTAAAGTTTAACTAAAATTATATAAAAAAAATATAAATATTCATAATGTAAAATTAGTATCATTAGATTAGTTATAGAATATATTTTTATAATAATTTTATTTAAATACGTAATATTAATACTAATTGCTATAAACATGATCAAATTTGACTTATTTTCACCGTCACGGATCCTTTAATTACATCGTTTTGTTTGACGCAGAGAGCAGTAGAATAATAACTGCCGTACGACGCCAGCCAGCAACGCCACATTTTTTACTGAGGCAGGCTACTTCTTTACTCTATCTATCTGGTTGCACTGACGCAGAGAGCTCTCTTCCCCCTTCTTCCAGCTCAAAATGCAAGCAAAGATCGAGCAGAAGCGCAGCAACCTGCGGCAGCGGCTGCTAGGCATCGCGTCGGATCTGCCGATGCACAAGCTCCAGCTTGTCGTCACCACGACCGCGGCATCACTCCCGGCGCTTGCCGTCGTCGCCCTCGTCCTCCTCCTCCTCGCCACGGCGCGCCGCCCGTGCTCCTTCCTCGACGCGTACCGCTCCGGCGTCTCCCTGCCCTCTCCGTCCGGACCCTCGCGCCCCCGCGCAGCCGCCGTCCGGGCGCCCAGCGGGTGCGACATCTTCCGGCCGGGCGAGTGGGTCCCCGACGACGACGCGCCGTACTACACCAACCTCACCTGCCCGCTCATCCAGGAGCACCAGAACTGCATGAAGTACGGCCGCCCCGACCGCGGCTTCCTCCGCTGGCGGTGGCGGCCCGACGGCTGCGACCTGCCGCGCTTCGACGCCGCCGCCTTCTTCGACGCCGTCCGGAACTCGTCGCTGGCGTTCGTCGGCGACTCCCTCGCCAGGAACCACATGCAGTCCCTCATGTGCCTGCTGTCCAAGGTGCCGAATTTACTCTGCATTTATTGCCTTGTCTTGGCTCCTTCAACTTCAAGTTGCAGCAAACATTCTTTTTCCCCTCTCTCTTGCCGATTTGTGCAGTAATTTCGGCGACTAGTATTTAATAATCTCTATTTGTTTGGCTTTAGCTGAAAAAATGGTGGATGCTGACGCTGATTTAGGCTGATAAGATGTCATCTGCTAAATAAAACTGTTTGCAGGTGGCGTACCCGAAAGACATCTCGACGACGACGAATCCAGAGTTCCGGACGATGCGCTACGAGCCGTACAACTTCACCATGGCCATCTTCTGGTCGCCGTTCCTGGTGCGGGGGCACCAGCCGGACCCGCGCCGGCACATGTGGGACATCTACCTGGACGAGCCGGACGCGGCGTGGCGCGACGCCGTCTCGGGCTTCGACCGCGTTGTGCTTTCGGCGGCGACCTGGTTCACCCGGCCGGCCGTGTTCTACGCGGGCGGGCGCGTCGTCGGGTGCCACTACTGCCTCGTCCCGGGCGTGCCCGACCTGACGCTGCGCTACTCCCTGCGCATGGCGTTCCGCTCCGCGCTCCGCGTCCTGACGGCGGGGGGCCCCGGCCGGTTCAAAGGGACGGTGATCCTGCGGACGCTGTCGCCGACGTCGCACTTCGAGGGAGGGGAATGGGACCGGGGCGGGGACTGCCGCCGGACGCGGCCGTTCGCGGCCAACGAGACGCGGATGGCGGGGTTGGACCTGGACCTCCACAAGGTGCAGGTGGAGGAGTTCGCCAGGGCCAAGGCGGAGGCGGAGGCGAGCGGCGGGGGGACGAGGCTGGTGCTGATGGACACCACGGCGGCGATGGTGCTCCGGCCCGACGGCCACCCGAGCCGGTACGGGCACTGGCCGCACGAGAACGTGACGCTGTACCATGACTGCGTGCACTGGTGCCTCCCCGGCCCCATCGACGCCTGGAACGACATGCTGCTCCAGATGCTCCTCCGGGATCCGTCTTGATCCATTGACGCAACTGCACATTACTACCGTCGTGGTCCGTGTGTTTCTTCCGCTCCTATTTGTTGTCCCAAGGAAACTCACAAACTAATTGAGCCCGCAAATTTACAAAACTACTAGATCGAAACTAATTGAGCGTGCACTTATCAAAACTACTATGTTTGCTTGAACTTATCAGACATGGTACAATATTTTTCTTCCACAGTAAATCAGTTTCAGCTAACTTATCAGCAACATAAATTATCGGCCGAACAGCTCGTAAATCAAAACTACCGTGGTTCGTGTGTTTCTTCCAATAAGTAGTTCCCAGCTACTTACTAAAAACTGAAAATAATAATATAACATCCAGGTTTCTCTAAGCAAACTAGAAAGAATATTCTCACCTAAACAGATGGGGCACTGAACCTCCTTCCATCTCTGCTAATTTCACTAGCATAAACCTCAGAGAAAGTAGTTCACATAAGCTTCAAATCATGTAAAACATCAAATATTTCAAAGTCCATGAGCCTGAATAATGATCTTCAATCTGTGTAGTGCAGTGAAATGCATGTAAAACATCAAATATTTCAAAGTCCATGAGCCTGAATAATGATCTGGGAGGCGCAGAGGAAGACCTCGAGGAGTGCGGCGGCAAAGATGTCAAGGCAGTACTTGAGGTCGAGGCGGAGGCGGAGGGCAGTATTGTCGAAAGTGTTGCGGAAGCGGGAGAAGAGCGACACCACCGCGGCGAGGAGGGAGTTGGTGGCGGCGATGTCCCCCGCGTTGACGGCAGTGCCGAGGGAGGACACGATGGACGGGAGGAGCGACTCCCACCTGGTTGGGAAATCGGAGGTCGCGGCGGCGGCGAGGGCCCCGGAGAGCTGCGCCTGGATGAGGGGCGGGGCGGGGCGGTGAGGAGGAGCTGGAGGAGGTGCGCCTTGATGATGGCGCAGTCGGAGGCGGGGAGGTGGTCGTCGGCGGGCTTGGGCCACCGGCGGCGGAGCAGGTTCTTGAAGTGGACGGAGGCAGCGAGGCGGGGCTGGAGGTCGTGGCGCGGGGAGGCGGCGAAGCCGAGGAACGCGAGCGCGAAGCCCGGGGAAGAGGCGGAGGAGGAGATGCTCTGCTCGGCGGCAAGGCGCGCGGCGGCGTCGCGTGAGAGCGACTGCGCGAACTAGCCCGCGAGGGCGTCGAGTATCTCCGGCAGCACCTCCATTCCGCGCTGCCGCGGGCCGGCGATCTGGGTGGGAGAGGGAGATCGTGGTGGCTGCGGAGTCCCTCCTTGCGCTTTGCGTTGCGGCTTCTACAGCTGCAGAGGATGGGGAAGGCCGGAATCGAGGCAAACAGACGGCGGTTATGGAAATAGGGGCGACGTGTGAAGGAAAGGAAAAAGGAAGTGGTGGTTATGGGCCGTAGTAGTGGGCCAATTATTCGTCGGCCTAGACTTTTTTTTGGCAAATTAGTATTAGGGCCAATCCGCCAACGGTGATTTCAGGCCGTCCCAGGCTTTTTTTTAGTAAAATGCACGGCCTTAAACTTTGGGGGCATTCCTACATGAGTCCTTGACTAAAATAGCGACCATCTAGGACCCTAATTTATTGCAGTCACACACCAGCAGTCCAAGACCCGTCACACCATCACCATTATGTGACGTGGCCTTGCCACCGTGGAAGGTAGACGCTGTGCCCCTACCAAGTTTTCAAAAAACACCCCGCCTCCTTGTAACTCCCGCCTATATTTCCCACGATGGCGTACGTGTCGGAGATGCCAAACCGAAAGCTCGCGAGCAGCATGGCCAGCACGACCTTGGTCTCAACCCTAGCGTAAGCCTGCTCGATGCAGTTGCGAGAGATGATGCAAATGGCAAGAACCGGTCCGGCCTGAACTCGTGTCGTCGTGCGCGTCCGCTCCCCCCGCGGGCTCATCGTGGTGGATGGTCAGCACGGGGATCCAGTATCCACAGCGACGCGGCCATGGGCACACGCAGCTCGTTGGCGCCGGAGCCGAGCGTGATGTCCTTAAACGCCATCCGCGGCAGCAGTATATGCACAGCCGCAGCTGCATGCATATGCACGAAACCATTACAACCCAATATCTAGCTGGCATGGACGAAAGTTACGAAACGGAACATGCATGTGGATCATCGGAAGTCAATGGCTTACCACGGTGAGCTTGGGGAGGCGGTCGGCGGCGTGGTAAGGCCATAGATGATGCTTCGCTACTTTGGCACGCTATATGCGTTGCCATGGGTGAGACCTCGACGCAGATTTCGACGACCAAGACTCATTGCCAGGACCGACGAGACCGTTATGCTGCGATGCCGTGGCGCGACACCGCACTTCTGCTTTCGCGTCCTTTAGCGTAAACGACGCCAATGAAAGTGTTGACGGAAACATCAATATAACTTGAAATAATGCATAAAAATGATCACCAACATAGATTTAGGGGGTTTAAACTGACAATTTCTACGAGTTTTGGTGAATCTGTATTTTCAGCAAGGTTATTCCAGAAAACCATCAAGGGATCAAAATGTCAAATTAAATCGCGTTTATCTACGGCGAAAACCACTCCAGAAAGTTATAGAGGACTCCAGAAGCCACGTCATCGAAGCAGAGGGCGAGAGGATGACAGGTGGGGCCGCCCATAGGCCGCCGACCCTCTAGGCCCACCTGTCAGCCTCCGCTTCGACGTCGGTTCCTCCACCGCCTCCTAGGATGTATCTACGCCGTTTATTCAAACTGGTTTGATCCGACGGCTCATGTTGGACGCTCTAGCCTATATAACCAGCCCCTGTCCCCCTCCAGAGCGCGCTGCCATAAGTCAAGTTTAGACCAGAAATTAGGGTTTCTAGAGAGAAGAGAGTAGAGCTCTAATTCTTCAAGTTTCTAGTGTAGGCTAGCTAGCAAGGTTTAAGAAGAGTGTGGGCTGTTGGTCATGATTCCGGATCTGCCGTCTGGAGACTGGTATAGCCATTGTATCTCTATATTTATGACTTTGTGCTACTTTAATATTATGTTGCTATTTATTATGTTCCTAATTTGTTCTAGTTATATGCTTGATATATGTGGGGGTTATGACCTCAGATACCCACGGGAGACCAGATGGGCTGCGCCCCCAAGGGTGGCCTAGCCCATAAGACGAAGCCTTACGGAGCACGACGCTGCTCGACGCGTCCCGCAAGACACCAGAAAGATATCCTGAAGATACTACGAGATCTGTTAGGATACGTATGATCCCATAATTTCTGTAATCTATTATTACTTTTTGGTTATCTCCTAGATCTAACCGACCAGTAACTCTGCCCTGAGACTATATAACGCGGGCAGGGACCCCCTCAAAACACACGTAATATCATACGATAGCCAATACAATCCAACATACCATAGGAGTAGGGTATTACGTCGCACTGATGGCCTGAACCTGTCTAACTCTTGTGTCTCTGTTGCCTTCTTATTCTTGATTACACGCATATCTGCCGATCAATCTACCTTCGTGGGATACCCCTCGGAGGACTACCGACGATATTCTATCGATAGTTGGCATGCCAGGTAGGGGCGTGCGTGTTGTTTCCATGTTGAACAAGATGGTACTTTTCATAGGCTCTTCGTCCCTCCCACAGCCCAGCCAAATCTTCATGGTCGAATCGATCTCCTGGATCATCAACGCTGATGGAGTCAGAGAGCTCATCGAGCTGGTGTAGATCGATACTGCACCGATCACCCCAACACCTGCGACTGCAGATCCGATGGAGAGACAATTCGCTGCCCGCTAACCCACTACCCGAGGAGGCAAATCAATAACGACGATCTGATCGCATCCATCGATTAGGTTGGCCAAAAACTCATCGATTGCCTCTCCATCGCAGAATTAGCTCTGACCACTCTGGTTCAGCGTCGACCATCCTCCGATTCAGATCTATCGGAGGCTGATTAGGAAACTCTAGGGGTTATGGCCCTACCCTTCAGGCTCACCAGCGTCGCCGCCACCTATCAAGATGCCCTAGGTGGCAAATTCACCGACTAGGTGGGAAATATCCATCCTCTCGTCGACCAGATCACCGACCAGCTCTCGCCGACTGTCAACATGCTACACGTCGGCCGACGCCCCGAAGCGTCGCTCCAAACCATCCTAGAGGAAAACCCAGACTCTGAGTCCTAGGGCTCTACAGAGATTGTCGCTGAAACCACCGCCGTACAACCTCCTTTCCCACCCTTTCGTGGAGGCAGAATTTTCAATGTCAGCATCGACAGCCCCCCACGGGACGAGGAAACCAAGGAAGACCACGTCACTCACGTCAACAGGAACGTCAACTGTGCACAGCGCCGAGCAAATGAGGCTGCCCTTGTGCTAGTCGAGGCTGCTCGCAACGATTAGCTCGACTCGCAAGGAAGGCCACGCCCACTCCAACGCAACCTCAACGACGAATTTGTCTATATTGATGGCCACGACGTCTACAAGACCCCAAGTGCCAACATGGCCGTGGCCACCAATGAGCTCGCCCGGCTCCCGCAAACACCAGAGGTCGCCAAGGTCGCTGCCATGCTTAAAGCGGCGCACTGCCAGGTCAATGAGATCCGCTAGGATCAGAGACCTTCCTACTCGATGAGCTTGATTCGCCGATCCTCCGTGCCAAGATCTAATCGCCGCCCCAGCCGAAGCCATTTCACCGATCGGCACCGCGATGATGGACACCTCTCCAGGGGGGAGCTAGGGGCAACCGCATCGACCACCCTCGCCAACACGACCAGGAAGTCGACCAAGACGTCCGAGTGCACATCAACAATCTCCAAGACGCGCGACGACATATCGACGAGCGCCGTTTCTCTCGCCATGAAGAAGAAGTATGCCGTCGTCAAGAATACGAGCAAGAGTTTGGTAATCCGGACTCAGTCCTCCAGCCATTTAACATCGGCAATGCCATAGATCACGACGGTGACGATCCCGAAGGGCCCCGAGCATTCACAAGGGCACTTCGAACACTCTAGTGGCCCCATGGTTTTAAAATCACCAGGGTCAAGCCCTACGAGGGACGGATGAACCCCACACAGTGGCTACAAGCTTATGCACTGCTGTGCGCGCCACCGGGGGAGATACCAGCATCATGGCAAACTATCTTCCAGTCATGCTCACGCCAACTGCGATGAACTGGTTCACAAGCCTTGCCCCAAACTCCATTGGATCCTAGCAAGAGCTGAAGAAGGTCTTCATCGACAACTACATGGCTATGTGTACTCACCGGGCACCAAGCATGATTTGAACCGCTTCTACCAGAAGCCGTTCGAGCTCCTCCATAGCTACATCAGATGCTTTTTCGAGATGAGGAATTCTATTCCTAACATCATGAAAGCTGAGGGCATCACCGCCTTCGTCCGAGGACTCCATCACCGCGACCTCCGCTCCAAGTTCAATCGCAAGCCACCAAAAGGGATTGGCGAGATGATTACGACCGCCAATCAGTACACCGACGCCGAAGAGGCCGAAGTATGTTTCAACGAGGATGTGGGCACTCATCACCCAACTGAAAGCTCTAATTTGGTTTTGGTGAATTGATGAAACCCTATGTGCTAACCTAGTTTATCAAAAGATCATGACATAGGTAGCACATTCTAAGTGGCGAAGCAAATAAAGATCATGACATGATGATGGTGATGCCATGGTGATGATCAAGTGCTAGGGCTTGAAAAGAAGAAAGAGAAAAACAAAAAGCTCAAGGCAAAGGTATAAATGGTAGGAGCCATTTTGTTTTAGTGATCGAGACACTTAGTGAGTATGATCACATTTAGGATCGATAGCCATACTATTAAGAGGGGTGAAACTCGTATCGAAATACGGTTATCAAAGTGCCACTAGATGATCTAACTCATTGCATATGCATTTAGGATCTAGTGGAGTGCTAACACCCTTAGAAATGTTTTGTGGAAATATGCTAACACATGTGCACAAGGTGATACACTTGGTGGTTGGCACATTTAAGCAAGGGTTAGGAACTTCACCAGCAGAGTGTCCGCCCGTAGAGTGCGAACAGTCCGATGGTGCCACCGGCGCCCTATACAGAAAAGACAGGGTCTCACAGAGTGGACCGGACGCTGGTCTCAACTGAACCGGCGCGTCTGGTCAGTGGAAGCAGTGAAGACGCTGGGTCACTTGGTGATCGAACGTTGAGTGGGTGCGTTCGGTC